TACAGGCTGAAAAAATGGAACCATGTATACTACACAATTAACACACTGCCTTTACTGCAATGTTCCCATTCCTGTTTGCACAAGCAGAAGGAAGATGATGCAAAAAAACAGCTTAAGTTACAACATCAATTCCTATGTTTTATAAACAAAAATGCCAAACATCATAAAATAAAATATATTTTACCTTTAAAGTTGCAATGAAACTGGGATCTTGTCAATTTCCTTGTACCCTTGCGATACAGTTTGGAACTTTTCTTTAATTTGCTGGAGTGCTGAATGCACCGTCTCATTAGTAAACTGAGTTAATAAGAGGTGAAGTCTGAGACCCTATTTGTTTTTATGGTCCCAGTAAAAATAGTCCAGGTTGCTTTATAATTTCACTATGGAATATGGCATAAAGTTAATTTTTTAAAATGAAAAATAAACACAACCACAGCTAATGAAAATACCTTTGAACCTTCTTCTTGTTCATATGCAAAGACAAGGTGCAGCTACTAAATACTGACTTGAAGGGGGTGAATATTTATACAGTCACTTATTTCCCATTACATATTTTTATTTAATTGACATTACTTTGTAGAAACCTCTTTTCACTTTGGCATTAAAGAGGTTTTTTTTTTGTCAAAAAGGCCTAATGATATTGACCATAAAATCAGTAGTAGTTGCGTATGTAAGTGACCACAACAGTCAGGACACAGTGTATTATGAGGTATGTTGATTGGATGGGATGGGCGACCCCTGGTCCAGTCAAACTCAAGTTGACTTGTTGACTTATATCCTGCTCTTTCTGGCACCTCAAGGCATGATTGAAAATAATACTCCAGCTTTATAATTTTTATTTTTCAAATTTTCCATCCAACAGGCTATAGATAGAAAATAGAAAAATGTAATGCTACAAGATTATAAATAATTAATTATATTTGAGCTAATGAATAAAAAAGACACTGTGTAATGATGAAATAAAAATTTCTATTATTAATTTTTTAAATGGAAAATATGACTAATAAGCATCAAATGGATGGCGGAGACCTACTGTACTTGCCAGAATACTGCAGCACGTTTGATTTCTGTGTGTTTCAGACGTTTGAGGGCAATGTGAACAGTGAGGGTGTGGTTCGCCATGAGCTGCAGCACGTCATCCTGGCACGCTACATCCGCTTCATCCCACTAGACTGGAGCAGGGAGGGACGCATTGGAGTACGCCTGGAGCTCTACGGCTGCTCTTATTGTGAGTACAAGTGGCTAAAATGATTCCACCAGTCTGTTCTGTACGTGCTACACCAGATTGGCATGAATGAGGTTAAATGTAACCAACAAAATATATGTTTTAGAATGTTTATATAACTGTTCTGCTAACCAATTAAACACAGTACTACGCAAATGGAACTGATATGCAGTATCTGCCTGGAAATTAGTTCAAGTTAAAAACATTGTTGTACAACGGAAAGGATGATGACTACGAGTTATCAGTGTGCATGTGTTTGCAGGGCAAAGCACTGAGTCACCACTCATTGTCTCCACCTGCTGCTCGTTATCCCCTGGTCTTCTTCCCTCAGTCACTTGCTGGTTCATACTGTCACCTTGTTCCTGTGGCCTGAATTTTTCTTGTGTTTTATTTCCTATCTTGCAACCCTTGGGCTGTTTTTATTTGGTCTCTGGACTTGCCTGCCATTTTGGATTCTCAGTTTTGTTTCCTCAGGTTTGTTTGAGTTGTATGTTCTTGAGTTTGTTTAATCCTGCTCCCTGAATTAACTGTTGAGTTATAGTCTGGCCAATAGTTTTGTTACACTTATCAGCAAGCAAGCAAGCAAGCAAGCAAAGTTTATTTACAGTGGGTACGGAAAGTATTCAGACCCCCTTAAATTTTTCACTCTTTGTTATATTGCAGCCATATGCTAAAATCATTTAAGTTCATGTTTTTCCGCATTAATGTACACACAGCACCCCATATTGACAGAAAAACACAGAATTTTTGACATTTTTGCAGATTTATTAAAAAAGAAAAACTGAAATATCACATGGTCATAAGTATTCAGACCCTTTGCTGTGACACTCATATATTTAACTTAGGTACTGTCCATTTCTTCTGATCATCCCTGAGATGGTTCTACACCTTCATTTGAGTCCAGCTGTGTTTGATTATACTGATTGGACGTGATTAGAAAAGCCACACACCTGTCTATATTCAGAGACATAGAGCTCCAGGGCCAGGGCAACCTGCAGAAAGGTACAGGGAGAGAGAGAGGACACACTACGGGAGAGAGGAGACACAGAGTTAGTGATGTGTAATGGTGGCATATAGAAGCATAGGGAGAGAGAGGAGAGGGGAGGGGAGGAGAGGAGGAGGGGAGGGGAGGGGAAAGAAACTCAGAGCATCATGGGGCCCCCAGCAGCCTAGGCCTATAGCAGCATAACTAAGGGAAGGCTCAGGGTCACCTGATCCAGCCCTAACTATAAGCTTTATCAAAAAGGAACGTCTTAAGTCTAATCTTAAAGGTAGAGAGGGTGTCCGCCTCCTGAACTGAGACTGGGAGTTGGTTCCATAGGAGAGGAGCTTGATAGCTAAAGGCTCTGCCTCCCATTCTGCTTCTGTGGACTCTAGGAACCACAAGTAAACCTGCACTCTGAGAGCGAAGTGCTCTGTTAGGATGATAAGGCTCTACGAGGTCTTTAAGATACGATGGAGCCTTGTCATTAAGGGCTTTGTATGTTAGGAGAAGGATTTTAAATTCTGTTCTGAATTTTACAGGGAGCCAGTGGAGAGAAGCTAATATGGGAGAGATATGATCTCTCTTGCTAATTCCTGTCAGTCCTCTGGCTGCAGCATTTTGGATTAACTGGAGGCTTTTTAGGGAATTATTGGGACATCCTGATAGTAAAGAGTTACAGTAGTCCAGCCTGGAAGTAACAAATGCATGGACCAGTTTTTCAGCATCACTTTGGGACAGGATGCTCCTGATTTTTGCAATATTGCGTAGGTGAAAGAAGGCAGATCTAGAGACTTGGTTTATGTGTGATTTAAAGGACATATTCTGATCAAAGATGACTCACAGGTTCCTCACAGTAGTACTGGAGGCAAGAGCTATGTCATCTAAAGTAACTATATGATTAGACAGCAGATTTCTAAGGTTTTCAGGCCCAAGCACAATAACTTCAGTTTTGTCAGAGTTTAGAAGTAAGAAGTTGCAGGTCATCTAGGCCTTTATGTCTTTAAGACATGCTTGAAGTTTGACCAGCTGACCTGATTCATTTGGCTTCATAGATAAATATAACTGAGTATCATCTGCATAGCAATGGAAATTTATGTTGTGCTTCCTGATAATATTGCCTAAAGGGAGCATGTATAAAGTGAAGAGAATTGGACCTAACACAGAGCCCTGTGGAACGCTGTGACTAACGTCAGTTTGTGTGGAACATTTGTCATTGACATGAACAAATTGAAATCTTTCTGATAAATAAGATTTGAACCAACTTAGCGCAGTTCCTTTAATCCCAATAACATGTTCAAGTCTCTGCAGTAAGATGCTGTGATCAATGGTGTCAAAAGCAGCACTGAGATCTAAGAGGACAAGTATGGAGACAAGTCCTTTGTCTGAGGCTAGGAGAAGATCATTGGTGACTTTCACCAATGCGGTTTCTGTACTATGATGGACTTTAAATCCTGACTGAAAATCCTCAAACAAATCATTGTTTTGCAAGTGGACACAACTGCTTTGCAGCAGCTTTTTCAGGTCTTTTAGAAATAAATGGAAGATTGGATATTGGTCTATAATTAGCTAGGACACCTAGATCAAGAGTAGGCTTTTTGAGTAGAGGTTTAATTACTGCAAGTTTAAAAGCCTGTGGAACATAACCTGTTAATAGAGAGAGGTTAATCAGATCTAGTATGGATGTGTTGATTACGGGAAAGACGTCTTTGGGCAGCCTGGTCAGGATGGGGTCCAGGAGACATGTTGATGATTTAGATGAAGCAATTGTTGAGGTCAACTCAGAGAGATCTATAGGGGAGAAGTAGTCCAAGTATAAATGAGGTCTTACAGATGTTTCTAAAGCCACTGTAGTAGATGGCACATCTGTGAGAGCTGTGGGAGTGGTCCGACCAATTTTTTCTCTAATAGTTGTGATTTTATTTGTAAAGAAGCTCATGAAGTCATTGCTGCTGAGATCTAAGGGAATGTTAAGCTCAACAGCACTGTGGCTCTTTGTCAGCCTGGCTACAGTGCTGAAAAGAAACCTGGGGTTGTTCTTATTTTCCTCAATCAGTGATGAATAAAATGCAGTTCTAGCACTACGAAGGGCTTTTTAAAAATATATTATCAAACTATCTTTCCATTTGTTGGCTACTTGGAACGTGTGGCTGATATAGGCACAGTGCTTTGGAGATGCTGCATACGGCATCCCAATTACCAAAACGTATCTCATGCACTGTTTACATCTGTGATGAGAACCAAACAAGTTTAGAACACAAGGAAACTAGTTTGATATAGTCCAGCACCCAGACTCAGCCATGAGATATGACTGCCCTGGATCGCACATCTGTTCTCCTGGCAGAATACATAATTTCCTTTCCTTCCTTCATTTTTCAGGGGCAGATGTGATCAGTTTTGACGGCCACGGTGTCATCTCCTACCGCTTCAGGAGTAAAAAGATGAAGATTGTGAAGGATGTCATCTCTCTGAAGTTTAGAACCACAGCTGGAAATGGGGTCCTGCTACATGGAGAGGGGCAACAGGGAGACTACATTTCCCTGGAGCTTCGCAGGGCAAGATTGCAACTCGGCATCAACTTAGGTGTGTGGTTTCAAACACAGGAAAATCACTACATTGTCAGGTGTTCCTCAAAGACGGCCTAACTTATTCTACTGAAATTATTAGGACTGTGTTAACTGCTGCAGTCAGAAGTGATATGAGAAACTTTATGACCACCTGTTCCTATCTGTGTGATTTGTTCGCTTCTCTCCAGGCAGTAATCAGTATGGTTCCATTCAGGGCCACACCTCCGTGACCAGCGGGAGCTTACTAGATGATGACCACTGGCATTCAGTTGTCATAGAGCGTTATCGTAGGAATGTCAACTTCACTCTGGACCACCATACTCAGCACTTCAGGACCAATGGAGAGTTCGACCACCTGGACCTGGACTATGAGGTAATGACTTCCTGAGGGTTGTGCTCTCTGGCGTTTTTATCATCTCAGCTTCAGTGCTGCCAATTTGTCCCTAGCTCAAAGGTCTGTGAGGTAAAGTGGTCCTCAGTTTTAAGAACAGACTGGTGATATAAACCATTTACAGCCACTGATGATGGGCTAACCAGTGACAAATCCCTGGCCACCATTTCAAGCAGTGTTGATACCCCTGTTGACAATAATACGATATGCATTCAAAACCCTCTGGAAGGGGGTCACTGGTGGCCCCGGAGTTTTCAGATTTATCTATGATGTACACACAGCGTCGGTGTACTCTTACTGTCAGGCCTTGATTTGCAATATATGCATTAGGCTCAGATGGTATATGAGTCATATAAGCCATGTAGAGAAATCTGATAATAGCAAATCAATACTACTTAGAATACTGCTGAAGATGATGGCAACAGTCTGCCTGTGTTCATGGGTACCTTGCTTCTGCTCCATCGCCCTCATCAGCCCATGAACACAGCTCTCTTAATTCTTTTCAAGTAAAATAAACTAGAATTACTGCCTTGCAGTTATGTCTTATGTAGTGAAGAATTCAAAGGAAGTTTATAAAAGATATTAAGCATATTTAATTTGAAGAAATTCCCCTAGGTGTTCTTGAGGTACTGCGTTCACAGAAATGGGACGGACCAACAGACTGATGGACAGACTTACAGACAGTCAGATAACCTGAAAACGTAATACCCCTGAGTCTGGCTGTCACTGGGGTAGAGGCATAAAAATAAATGCAATCATGGGCAGCACAATGGTGCAGTGGTTAGTACTGTTGTGACACAGTAGGAACGTTCTGGGTTTGAACCTCAGGACCCATCGGGGCCTTTCTGTGTGGGCTTTCTCTGGACATTCCAGCTTCCTCCCACAGTCCAAAGGCATGCAGCTTAGGTTATTTGGCGACCCCAAATTAGCCGTAGATGTGAATGTGAGTGTGAATGAATGATTGTCTGTCTCTTAAGTGTCAGCCCCAGACTGGTGACGTGTCCAGGGTGTATAGTGCTACTTGCCCAGTGTTGGTTCCAGCCCCCCAAATGACCCTCTACAGGATAAGCAGCATAGATAATTTGTTTGGAATGTGTTGCAGCATCAGAATTGAAGTGAGTGTTTATTTTGAACAAAGAATAAAACTGATGAGGTATCACATCAAATAATGTGCTCCTGTATTCTTTTCAGTGTGATACAGGACACAGATGATTTAAACATCACTATTTTCACTTTCACTTTTAATTTTACATACTGTCCCAACTTTTTCTGATTTGGGGTTGAAGAATAAACATCACAGGAGCATTTATATGTAATTTAATCCATGAGAGTCCACTCTTCATGTTCTCAGATCAGCTTTGGAGGGCTGCCTGTGTCAGCTAAATCAGGCTCAGGGGACAGAGAAAACTTTGTGGGCTGCATGGAGGGAATCACCTACAATGGAGACAACATCACTAACATGGTCCGCAGGAAGAGAGTGGACACATCCAGCTTTGTAAGACAACCCTCTCTGTTTCTCAGCGTGTGTGTGTGTGTGACCAGGACCAGGATTGCATTTGCAGTGTATATCTCTTGTATTGCGAGTAGAATACTATTTAACCCATTCTTTGTCACTAAATGGAATGTTTATTTATTTTTTTGGAAAGGTTTAACATTTACCTTGCACTAAAAACTGTCTGTTAAGGAAAACTCCTCCTCTTGGTGGTAATTTTTTGAAAAAGGTGAATAATTCCCCCACATGTAAAAACAATATTGAACCCAAACATTTAATCTTGGTTAAAAAAGGGTCAAATCCAGGAAGGCAGGCAGAGAAGGGCAAACTTGTCAGAAATGCGATCAAATTGTCCAGGAATAGGTGGGAAATTGGGTGGGGGAGGTCAGGTGACGGGGAATGGCAGGTGGGAGTGCCAACAGGGATAGATGCTAATACTTTTAGGCACTGGCCCCATGGGCCACCAAGCCTCTAAATTTGGTGGCCACAGTGGGCCACCTGCTGGGGATATATGGTGGACACACAGGAACCTTTGGTGGCCACAGGCCATCAGGCCATTGTTAATGTTGACCCCTGGGTAGGATCAGAAGTCACTGGAGAGTTAGTACCTAACCTAGCAGGAAAAATGTAAGCCACTGAAAATATGAGACTGTTGTTGTGACATGAAGGTTCTGCATACAAACCTGCCAACCGGTTGGCACCTTTCATTGTGGTGTCTGTCTATTCTGCCATGTTTGCCGTTTTCCTTTGGTTTCTCCCACAGTCCAGGGTTAGCCAGGACAAAAGTCTAATTTTATCTTTAATTGATTATTTTTGTCAATAAGTGTGTCCCAGTTGATTTTACAGTTTTAGAGCAGCATTTGTGAGACAGTGAAAGTGCTTATAGATACAGTGTAACTGGACAGATATAAATTGTCCAGGAGCTTGTGTACAACAGATTACATAGTCAAGAGAATGAGCAGAATGTGGTATTGATCTGAGGTTTCCATTGTGCTGTCATCCTGCCAGCTGATGGATCTAATAGACATTAGACAATATGCTCTAAACTCATAGAGACTCTGCTGTAGTACTGCGGACTCTTCCAGAGTCACATGACATAATATAGATACCTACAGGCTTACAATACTCTGTGGTATGTGGTTCACAGAAGATCAAACTAGATTATGACCTTCTCTTCCTTACCCTTCAGTAGTCCATCATGTGTAGTAGTCAGTAGTCCATCCTCTAATGGCTAAAAACGGCTTTTTCAGGTTTTAATCAAAACAAATGTTACAGTTGCCTGCATGGATTTACAGCTGCTGTAGGGTGAATTTACTTCTATTCAGTATTGTCTCAGCACAAGCTGAAGTCATTTCTGGCTACAGATTTAGCCGATCTAGAATTGTTGCTTTCCTCCTTAACATTTCTTATAATGCATGTGGGATAATTGAGTACAATTTTGTCATAAGACTGGACAAGCTTAGTGCTTAAAACTAAGGTGTGAAAAAGTACTCCTATAGAAGTGTTAGTGCACCAGAACAGGTCAGATATGTTCACTATGGTTTTCTCTCTTTCTCCCTCACTGTAGCGAAACCTGACATTCACCTGTGCAGAGTCCAATTCCTTCCCCGTTTTCTTCAACTCCACATCATTCCTGCGGCTGTCAGGTCAGAGTGACAGTGACACTCTGTCAGTCAGTCTGTCTTTCAGGACATGGAACCCCAATGGGCTGCTGATGTTCACAGCGCTGACTGATGGGTGGGTTGAGGTGGGACTGACAGAGGGCAAAGTCACTGTCTACATGAATATGACACAGAAGAAGAACACACGTATTGATATCTCATCAGGTGAGCTGAACTCATTGGGTTTCAGGATGTAAGCTAAGGAGCCTTCACGTACTTTAATTAGTTGTCACTTTTGTATCTTGCCACATTCCTCAATTATTGTTATCAGTTTCATCCTTTTAAAGTTTATGGATGCAAGTGTGTGTTTTCCATTAGGTTCAGGCCTAAATGACGGCCAGTGGCACAATGTCCATCTGAATGCATTGGAGAACTATGCAATGCTGACAGTCGATGGAGATGAGGCATCCACAGTCAGAACAGCCATCCCCATTCAGATCCAGACTGGAGGAACCTACTATTTTGGAGGTGACTCACAAAAAAAGATATCATTGAGTGATAATTGTATACCAAAATCATGTTTCACTACATACTTCAGTTTTGAAGACAGTGTTCATTTTTAGAATTTGAGTAGGTGAAATATTTGCGTATTAGAGCACATATGTTATGCCTTTTATATTAAAGGTACAAAATGAATAACCAAAATGTAAGATTGTTGTTTTTTTTCTGGGGCAAAGGATGATTGATCTTATGATCTCAGTATTTCTGACCTCCTGACTATTGACCATGAGGAAGGCTGAGAGTAGAAGCCAGATGCAGCACAGACAAATCAAACCTATTATTCGGTCAGCATTTCTTCAGTGGTTGTAATAATCATCTTTGAGCTTTTCTGATTGTCTACAGGCTACTTTCTGCACAGTAACACGCGAACAACGCAGCGCTCCTTCCAGGGCTGCATGCAGATGATCCACATAGACGACCATTTAGCTGACCTCAAGGCTGTCGAGCAGGGCCACATTGGGACCTTTGAAAATGTCAGCCTGGATATGTGTGCCATTATAGACAGGTATACGACTTGATTGGAATTATTAAATTGATTGCCATACAGGGAAACAGCGTGGCTCACTGGGTAGGTCTGGTGCAAACACTGGGCTGGAAATCAGTCCCTGCTTTGTGCCTCTTGTGCTCACTTGAGTTTTCCTTCACTGTTCAATTGTGTTTTGTCAGGTGTGTCCCTAACCACTGTGAGCACGGTGGTCGCTGCGGTCAGACGTGGGACACATTCAGCTGCAACTGCAGTGGCACTGGATACACTGGAGCTACCTGCCATACCTGTAAGTGTACACACACATATTTCCATCACTTCAGGGGGACATTACATTTATATACATTTGTTTCCTGGAGACCTACCTTAACCTCACCCAAAGCTTAAACTGAGTCATCACTCTAAAATGTAATAATTTATACTCTGGGGACTTAGGTTTTGTCCCTATGAGGATGTCAAGTACCCACAATGTGACTGTGTAAACAGATTTATGTCCCCATAGCATGAGTAATACCAGGCCCCACACACATATGTCTATTGAGCTGTGTGTTATCTTCTCTGTAGCAATGTACCAGCAGTCCTGTGAGGAGTATAAACATCAAGGGAAGAGCTCTGGGAACTACTGGATCGACCCAGATGGCAGTGGATCTGTCATGCCCTTCAGAGTCAGCTGTGACATGACAGGTAAGATGTCACACTGAAAAGGCTGTAGGGTTCATCTGTTTAGTTTTATCACCTTATTCAGAGTAGTGTAGCAAAAAAAAAAAAAGTTATTTCCCCGATTAGCTTTGTCATTAGTTGTTCCGGGAAGTGATACAAACATGAGCTGTACTTTCAACATGTCTATCAGATAAGCTAAGCACACAACACAAAATGTCTTATGTCAGTTTGTAAAGCATTCAGGAACAGTGTTGCATTTGTGAACGTGACAGTAGGCATTGTGATATGGAAACACATCTGTCAAGCTATTGTTGATTGGTTTCTGATCTTTTAGAGGAAAAGGTTTGGACCACACTGAAGAACAGTTTGCCTCCTCAGACTTCAGTCACCAGTCCCGACCAGGAGGGAAAAGCAGTGCTGCAGATCACATACAATGTGACTGACGAACAGGTACACAGTGGCCACACCCTTTGACCAAGTTCACCTGCTGCACACTTTGCTTTGTTGTGGTCTGTTACCGACGCAGGTGCTGCTAAGGGAAAGTAACATTTGCAATAACCAGATGTAATGGTTCCATGCAAGGTGTTTATTTACACAATATTAGGGGGGGCATAATGTAATCTTAACAAATTAAACAAAATAAAATAAAAAAAACCAAATCCAACTAAACCCATCAAATGAAACTAAAACAAACACTCCAAAGAACAGCTGACATTGATGAGCACAACTTGTGATAAGACTTCAGAGTGTAACACACCACACCAACAAAACAAGGGGAGGAGTAGAGCACAGCTCTAGAAAGACTCAGTTTTCAACCAGACATACTATTAAAGCCCCCAGTTAGTAATGAATGTACCCACCCATGCCCAGCAGTCTAAGCAAAGATGCCCAGACTTCCCTCTCTCCAGACACTTCCTCTAGCTCCTCCGGGGGGATGCCGAGGTGTTCCCAGGCCAGCCAAGAGACATAGTCCCTCCAGTGTGACCTAGGTCTTCCCCGGGGTCTCCTCCCAGTGGGACATGCCCAGAAAACCTCCCTAGGAAGGCGCCCAGGAGGCATCTGAAACAGATGCCCGAGCCACCTGAGCTGGCCCCTCTCGATGTGGAGGAGCAGTGGTTCTACTCTGAGCTCCTCCCGGGTGACCGAGCTCCTCACCCTATCTCTAAGGGTGCGCTCGGCCACCCTGCGGAGAAAGCTCATTTCAGCCGCCTGTATCTGGGATCTTGCCCTTTTGGTCATGACCCAAAACTCATGACCATAGGTGAGAGTTGGAACGTAGATCGACCAGTAAATTCTTCACCACAGACCAGTACATTAGCAGCATTACTGCAGAAGCTGCACCGATCCGCCTGTCAGTCTCCCGTTCCATCCTTCCCTCACTCATGCCTAACTACGGTAATTAGGAGTACAAACCCCAAAACAGACAACTGTTTGAAGTCTTAGCAAACCAAGAGGAGATCCCTCCAGAGCAACCGACATGCAGTGCCACAAGAAAAGCGAGACGTGCTCTGTCTCCTAGGAACAGAAGAGTACAAATCAATCCCAGAACAACAGCAAAGGACCTTGTGAAGACACTGGAGGAAACAGATACCAAAGATCAATATCCACAGTAAAACAAGTTCTGTATCTACATAACCTGAGAATCTGCTCAGTGAGGAAGAAGCCACTGCTCCAAGATGCCATAAAATGTCTGACTACAGTTTGCAGCTGCACATGGGGACAAAGATCTGACTTTTTGGAGAAGTGTCCTCTGGTCTGATGAAACTAAAGTTGAACTGTTTGGCCATAATGACCATTGTTATGTCTGGAGGAAAAAGGGGGAGGATCATAAGCCAAAGAACCGTGAAGCACAGGGGTGGTAGCATCATGTTGGGGGTCTTTGCTGCAGGAGGGACTGGTCCACTTCACAAAATGGATGGCTTCATTAGAAAGGAAGGTTATGTGGATTTATTGAAGCAACATCTTAAGACATCAGCCAGGAAGTTAAAGCTTTGTCACAAATGGGTCTTGTCCAAATGGACAGTGTGGCAAAATGGTTAAGGACAACAAAGTCAAGGTATGGGAGTGGCCGTCACAAAGCCCTGACCTCAGTCCAATAGAAAATCTGTGGGCAGAACTGAAAAAGTGTGCGAGTTGGCACCACAGATGGCTGCCTTAGTTCTGTACCAGAGACAAAGTCCATGTGTGTGTAGCATACTTGGCCAATAAAAGGGATTATCATTAAAGACAGTTCAGCATTAGAAAATACTTGGTTTTAATGCATATGGAATTACACTTGGTTGTGGAATAAAACCCAATATGCAAATAATGGTCAAGTCTTACTAGCTGTGTCAGTGACCCATATAGAACTGTACATTACTGGCGCACATGCTAAATTCAGTATAATGTCCGTTTCCACAGAGAAACATTTCCTTTTCCCTCAGTATAACAAGAATCTGGTCATACTCACCCTTCTGCTGCCCTTAGTTTTTCTTTTCAAACATTAATAACACTAGTTATTTCCAATCTCTTCTCTGCTTTTTGCTAGTGATGTTAAACCACTGCATTGGGTGGGTATAATCTGTAACCCTTAACTTATTTCAACACAAAAATGTGGAAAAAATAATTTGTAGGTACATAACCATAATATTTTGCACAAATTGAAGGCCATTCCAACAAGTAAATAATCAGTAGTTAAACAATATTTCAAGCAATGCTGATTGGCCATTTGACAACCAAATGAAATCAGAGGATCATGAAGTATAGCATGTGAATCTTTTTTCCCCTCCTTGTTCAAACATATATGTAAAGGAGATACACAGGTGTCACAGTTTAGAAAAAGGTGGACTTAAATGCACAACTCAGAAACGCAGTATACATTAAAAGTTTAAACAGCCCACCTTTATTTAAGGGAAAGCTGTCACGGCGAACCATATCTCAGGGCAGCAGGGAGTGCTGGGATGACTGGACTGCTAGAGCTACAACCCAAGGTTGTAGAGAGGCGCAGCTGGCTAAAGAAAAGCAGAGGATGAGAATGAGTAACAGGGATGCTATGGTAATGGAAATACTGATAGTTATACTGAGGACCTGAGTAGCAGAATTTACTGGCTCTAGGCAGGTGAGCGTCATGGGCTAAGAACACAGTCCAGGGGGAGGTGTAGGAGCTGGCATAGGCAATCACTGGTCTGACGTGCAGTACTACCATGGTGGTGAGGCTCAGGCTCACAGCAGACGGCAAACAGGTAGTAAGGTGGTGTGCGGAAGGCTGACAGTGGAGATCCAGAACCACGCAACCAGTCGCGTCAAGAGTTGGTCTCCTCGTCCTGAGGAGTGTCACCTGGAGAAACAGTTCACAGTCCAGGCACCAAATTGTGCCTATACAAAAATGGCTGAAACCACCAAGCAGGGGGTACTCCGGTGCTTAACACAAGTCAACAGAAAACAGTTCAAACAGAAAGTGACCCTTCAAAAAAAAATAAGGGCAATCAGTTCATTACTACCTACAATCTAGAAAACAGGTCATACACAAACAATCTTAGTCATGAGACCCAAGACAGGTTACCAGCAGGAACACACATCTGGCAAGACAAGGACACACCAACGCTCCCTTTAAGTACTAGTCTGGTAATTGAGAGCAGGTGTGCCTCACCACCTAGAATGCATTCCCACCTGTGCGGGGGCGGAGCTACTGTGACAGCCTGTGCCAGCTGATGAAGTGCTGGGGGTGGACAGGGCCACGGACGTAACAAAAGCTAAGGCTGGAATGGCTCAACAGACAATCTGACAGGTTGCATGGAAATGGATTGATGCATAAATTAGGAAGTTAATGAGAGAATGAGAAACGGCTAGACAGATGGGTGTGGAGAATCAGTGACTGGGAAAAATGGGGTTACTGCAGGGTAGGTGTGAGTGGCAGGATGTGAAATGGCAGCACAGTTTGAAATGACAAAGGTAGGCAGAGTATAACTGAATGTACTTTGACATGTATTATATAATAAAGTGAAGGATTCTTCAAGATTGAGGGAGATGTGTTATAACAAAAACATTTTCTTGTTAAAACAGAACAGTTTGGTAATTAATAAGAGAAGCTGTTTGTGGAGCTCTTCTGTGTGTGTGTGTGTGTGTGTGTGTGTGTGTGTGTGTGTGTGTGTGTGTGTGTGTGTGTGTCTCCAGGTGTTGTCAGTCACTAGCAGCGCAGAATACTGTGAACAGTACATAGCCTACGCCTGCCGAATGTCTCGCCTGCTCAACACTCCAGGTCAAGTATCCTTCACATCATCATCAGCAGAATGGTTTTGATGTAATACTTGTAGTTATACAGTAGTATATTGCAGTACATAATATTAATATAAGACCACAGGTCCAAAGCCATTCATGTAAGCAGGAAATTTCCAACTTAGAGCATGTAGTTTGACAAATTGATCTAATAAAAGTGAACGTAAACTGACTCAAATTTTATGGTTTGACTCCCAGATGGTGTCCCATATACCTGGTGGGTAGGAAGAGCCAATGAGAAGCACTTCTATTGGGGAGGTTCAGGACCAGGGATACAGAAATGTTCCTGTGGTATCGAACACAACTGCACTGATCCCAAACACAACTGCAACTGTGACGCTGATTTGCGCTCATGGTGAGTGGTCCAGTGCTCAGCAGCTTCTTATTTTTTGACTAGTTAATGTTACAGAGTTTGTATCTTCACACTGAACTCTGGTCCTTACCTTCATTAAACCAGAAAGAAAGAAAGCAGAAAAGTGCCAGCATTCAGCTTAGTAATGCTTTGGCTGATAACACCATTACTACATGACTGCTATATCCTATTGAGATAAAAGTAGGTTGTGGATTTGGTTTAGTACTTTTGGCATTTTCCAGCATACCAGTTTATACAAGGGCTTATTTGAAAGTAAAAGCAAACACAAATGCCAAAATTATTACCATGTCTTTCACTTTTAAACATTCATCACATATTGCAGAGTGTTGATGTGGTTCACATATGACTCACTGTATTTATTTCACTTTTTATTTTTTATTTTATTGGGACATGTCCTTACAAAAGCTGTGTGTACTGCATTCCCAGACAAGTCAGTGTAATAAGTAAAGTCATATGGCAAGATGTAAAATGTAATTTATTCTATTCACTTGCAAATTAGTTTCATGGTTAAACTGTTCCAAATGTCGTCTACTGTGATATAATCTTGAGTTGTTGTGCCCCTGTGTGTGTGTGTGTGTGTGTGTGTGTGTGTGCAGGAGGGAGGATGCAGGCCTACTGGTATATAAAGACCATTTGCCAGTCAGTCAGGTTGTTGTTGGTGATAAAAGAAGAGCTGGATCTGAAGCCAAACTGACTATAGGGCCACTCAGATGCCAAGGGGACCGTGAGTGCCTTACACACACACACACTCTCTCTCACACATACACACACGTACTTCTATTTTTGTGAGGACACTCATTGATATAATGCATTCCCTAATCTGAACCATCAGAACTAAATCCGAACCATAACCTTTCCCCTAACATCTAACCTAAATCTAATTCTAACCTGAACCCTAAAACTAAGTTTTAACCCTCAAAAAGATATTTCACAAAGTGAGGACCAGCCAAAATGTCCTCACTTTCCAAAAATGTCCTCACTTAGTAGCAAAAAATACTTGTTTGGTCTTCACTGTATAGCAAGTACAAGAACACTCACACACACTAATCACTCACCAGACACTATGAAATATTTCTCATAAGTAGAGAAACAAGAGTATTTTTATTGATGTCCTGCCGTTGCTGTCTGAAGGGAACTATTGGAATGCAGCCTCCTTCAACAGCCCTGCCTCCTACCTCCACTTCCCTTCCTTCAGAGGAGAAACCAGCACTGACATCTCCTTCTACTTTAAGACCTCCTCCACTCATGGAGTCTTTCTGGAGAACCTGGGAGCCACCAATTTCCTTCGCATTGAACTCAAAGGTGTGTATTTGTGTGTGCACTCTAGACAAGATGTTAGTATTTTATTGAGGACAATTAAATATTGAGTTTTGTAAAGATTTGTTAATGCAATCGATGCAGAGAGATGCTACAGTTTGTCAAAATGCATTTCTTCATATTGGGTTCACTTTATCAGAATTCTTCACACACTTGTCTTTACAACGTGCTGCTCAGCACAAGTTAGTCTCATATCCAAACTTAATTTAATGCAACCAAAACACTTGATCCACGTCTCAGGATCAGCTCTGCTGACACTGCTCAGGGTGGGCTGTAAACCACTCTGTGAAACAAAATATTCTTGATTCAACTTCAATGCCCATTTCCTCACTTGGCTCTGGTCTTTCAGGGGGGTCACCAAGGAATGAAACGAGGCACCTAGAGTTGTAAGGCCCCAGTGGCAGTTTATGTAACAGCAGAGGACATTTCTGTGGTCATAGTTATGTCTGGACCCTTTTAGGGTAGAGCCAGAGTCCTACACACATACAGTTTTGCAGACCTGTAGCCATAAAACTCTGCATCATAACCTGTTATCTCCAGATATACAGTATTAACCTGTTAATATACATTATGTCCTGTGACTTGTACTCATAACTTTAATCAAACACATAGGCTTGCAGTTACTTACCTTAAAACTCATCCAGATTGTATTTAACTCATGCATTCCTTTAAAAATCCATCCAAATATCGCCCTCCAGACATTTTTTGTCCCATTGAAACCCATTAAAATGCTATTTTTGATGCCATATTTATCCTACAATAAAGCAATGCACTGCGTTCTGTTCATAATGAATTTTGAAGTACTTGGTCCCAACTTGTAATTTTGGTAGTCATCCACCAGATGGTGACATGATTCCATTTTCGAAGCCTGCAGCCAAAACGAAACCAGAATGCACTTTTCCACCGTTTTTTTTCAAGGGTGACTTGTTAATAATGAATGGATTTGATAAAGTGCGTATCAGTGTTGATGTTATATTGATCCAGTGTGCGCCTCCTGTGTGTTTGTGCGACTTTACATCTGTGTGTTTGTAAGCGATTGGATGCACGCACGAAGATGTTCTAACAGCGTAAAATGAACCAAATAGGTTTGTGTGTCTCCAAATTCATAACTATTTTCCCTTAGAAGGTCACACTCTTTGTTTTTTTTATCAAATTCATGAGAATTGAGTCACAACATGGCTGCTGATGCAGGATCGGCTCTCCTCGGCCACCGTCGGCTGTGCTCGGGGTCACTGCAGGGTCACTTCCCTGTTTAGCAGTTCCTTGAAACATGAGCCGAATGGGTGCTCCTACAAGTGAACAGACGTGCGATTTCAGAAATGTACAGCCATGCATAGACTTCCTCTATATTACATCAATAATGATACACACTTTATACTGTATACTGTATCATTTTCACACGTAGGAGCACCCACTTGGCTCATGTTTCAACCCATACAGTGTATATACGGAAAGCGCAGCGGACGGTGGTCGAGCAGAGCCGATCCAACTGGGGCCTGGATTGAGGAAGGCTTGTTGCTCTTTGAGAAAATGGAACCAAAAGCACAAGATCAAACGGGAAACTCAGTAGTGGGTAAAATAAATTAATGCAAGAGTTTAATGCAAATTTTCAAGATGAATCCCACTTTTATTTTATTGTTCCTCAGTTTCCTGAATTGTATCCACATTTCCCTCACTTGCATTTTTTTCCCCTTGTCTTAGTCCCACTCACGTAAGGTGCAAGGAGAAACTGAGGAGAGAGGAACTGAGGAAACACATTTTAACTGACATGAGATGTCCTTTTATCCTTTCATTCATGTGAAGTGTCCAATCACAAACCGATTTCCAATAAAGGGATGTGTTAATCCATAACAGACTTCTGCCAAGGATGCACTCGTGTATCCTCAGCTTTAGCTCCTCTAGGAAACATCTTCACTCCTTAGAGCAGAAATAAGATTTTTGGTACATCCTTCATCATGGTGGACCTGAACAACTTCCGGGTTGGGCAAGGATTGAGAAATGATAAAATAAGGGAATTGGGATCACCTCTTATTTCTGCTCTGAGGAGAGAAGAGGCTACCTGGAGGAGCTATGACTGAGGATACATGAGTGTATCCTTCGTGGAAGTGTGTTACAGATTGACATGCCGCTTTGTCAGAAATTGCACACTTCACATGAAGGATCAGAGGAAAGGACATCTCATGTCAGTTAAAATGCGTTTCCTTAGTTCATCTCTCCTCACACTTCACACTTTGAGCTTGCATCTTTTCGTCACATCTTACGTGGGTGAGACTAAGATGTGACGAAAAGACACAACTGATGGAAACAATACAATTAGGTGAATCTCAATTTGTTTAATCTGGCAGCTGGATGATTGTGAGTGGGGCGGCATAAGTACTGACAGACGAGGTGGCGAGGGGCAGGTGTGTGGAGGAGTGGCAGGTGGCAGTGGAGGGAAGTAAGGGCAGTACCTGAAAGTAAAGACAGCACAATTCGTACTGAGTACCAGAAAGGTGCAAAAACCAAAATAAGAGCAGGAAAACAGGAAATTGTGACAACATGTTGACTGAAATACTTAAATGTCATTTGCCCAAAGTACATGTGTTTTTCAAGCATTTTGTCTGTAATAACTCCAGAGAAAAAACGTGAAATCACAGATGAACTTTGTTGGTAGCGAAAAACTGATCTTGAAGTCGTAAAATGTTAATGTTTGATTTTTATCCTTGTGCTCCCAGGAAGCTCGGTGGTTGTTTTGTCTTTTGATGTGGGAAATGAGCGATTGGTGCTCAGTGTTCACTCCCCGATTCCTTTGAACGATGACCAATGGCATCGTGTGGAGGCTGAGAAAAATATCAAGGAGGCAGTGCTGCAGCTTAATGGACAATACAGAGACGTCAGACCCACGCCACCACAGGGACACACAAAACGGGAGTTCTCCAGTGAGCTATATGTTGGTAAGACACACACACACACACACACACACCATCATGCTGTTTACAGTGAGCTGAGACAGCCAAATAAATGCCCTTTTCTCTGGCTTTAGAAAGGGTGAAATTGAAAAAAAAAACACCTTGCATTAGTGGTTTGTATTGTGGCTTTCCACACATCAAGCAAATCACAACAGAGGTTGAAACACTAGTATACAGCTAGTATAAAAAGAGAATTGAGCTGAAACAAAGCATTAAATCCCTACAAACACCACAAATGGCAAAAATAATGGTCTCTACATATACAAATAAATGGCTGAACTAACAAGAAATACATATGGATGATGCCATGGTGCAGATAGGATGTCTGCAGATTGCTGGAGATTAGAATTGTAGCTGCCATGTGGCTTTCAGCAGCAGCAGTGTTACAGTCATAACAATCATAATTCTGAATCTAGTTTACAGTTGTAACAGAACACTCCCTGCCTGGCGTGACCACTATTAACTTCACTTAGTAGAGTCTGTCTTGGGGAAGGGAAGCAGAGCAGTCTCTGAAACTGATCATGAGAACAGCTTAATCCCATCTCCTTTAGACACTTAGACCTCTACCTTTCGAACGAGACTGTCCTTACTTATTTCTTTTTTGTTGCTCATCTTTGAGAATCCTAATGCTTTCTGGCTCCAGTTTGGGCTGTTTTGATTGGTAAGGGGGTGTTAAATCAGCAAAGAACCAGGAGTGTACTGGTGATGCTCCCACCCCAAACCATCAGCACAAGGCGAGGCCATGAGCTCAGCAGGGTGAGGTCTTCCAGGGCAGCAGGACAGCAGCATCCTTGTTATGGTTAAGTTAAACCTTCTCTTTTGTTGTTTGTTATGGTTTATTTTAATAAACTCGGAGATGCTGTATCTTCCTCTGAGCCCCTTTTGTATGGGGTACCGCAAGGCTCGGTCCTTGGACCCCTTCTTTTTTTCCCTTTACCTTCTTCCACTTGGTTCTATACTCAGGAATCACGGTGTTTCCTTTCATTTTTATGCGGATGATTGCCAGCTTTACCTACCGGTTAATAAGGCAAGCTCTTCTGTTAGCACACTTCTTGAATGTCTGGATGACATTAAATCTTGGCTTGCTTTTAACTTTTTAAAGCTGAATGAGGATAAGACTGAGGTGATTGTATTCGGTGATTCTGTTGGTTCACCATCTGTTGACTTGGGCTCATAGGCTCATTATAATCAAAAGAATATTTTAAATTTAGGTATTAAGATGGATCCAGATTTAAGATTCGACAGCCAAATTGCAGCTGTCATTAAATCAAGTTTCTTTCACCTCAGACAGTTGGCTAAAGTAAAAGCATTTGTCTCTAGACAGCATTTTGAGACGCTTATTCATGCTTTTATCACTTCCCGTTTGGACTATTGTAACTCATTGTATCTTGGGGTCGGTGAGTCTTCTATCACTCGCCTCCAGATGGTCCAAAATGCAGCAGCGCGTCTTGTTAACAGGTACAAGGAAATATGAGCATATCTCTCCAGTTTTGGCCTGCCTACATTGGTTACCTGTCTACTTTCGGGTCCATTACAAAATTTTACTCTTTGTTTTTAAATCCCTTCATGGCTCTGCACCATCCTACTTATCTGATTTGCTTCATTGGCATACACCCACACACTCTCTGAGGTCAGCAAATCAGTTTCTCTTGAGTGTCCCAAGAACAAAGCGTAAGCTTAGAGGTGATCGAGCCTTCGCAGTTGCTGGTCCTAAACTCTGGAATGATTTACCGCTGTCCATTAGACAAGCCTCTACCCTGTCTGTTTTTAAGTCTCTTTTAAAAACTCATTTATTTTCCCTGGCATTTTGATATTTTATTTTTGTGTTGATTTTAGTCATTTTTTATTGATTATATTTTATATTGTTGTTTATGGGTTTATAATTTATACTGTTTTACTGCAATGTACAGCACTTTGGTCCACTCTGGTTGTTTTTTAGTGCTTTATAAATAAAGTTGGTATGGTATGGTATGGTAGTTGATTGTTGGGACTGAAACAGTTTGGGGTCGGCCCCTGACCTTGAATGGAGGAACCCGACCAAATATGTGGTGTGTTCCCCTCCTAAACAGCTCCCAGACACTGAGGAGGGACCTTGTCTAAGAGGTGTCAACAGTCCAGTTATGCTATATGTAGTTAAGTGAAAGGAAACAGTGACCTGGCTTTCCTCCCCCATGCTGTGCACCCTATAGTGACGCCAAGAGTGACCCCAAATTGCATACCCCAGCTGCTAGGGACAGGGCAGAGCATCCCCTAATACAACCCCTGGTTTGCTGATAGTTGACAGGGGATAATGTGCTGAGTATCTAGATTGCGAGACAGAACAGGATATTCAACATGGAAATGCACAGTCACTAAGAATAAACAAACACTTCGCTAGCTATTTTTTGGATTTTATAACCCACAGTTAGTATTATACAAGCAATCTATTGAAACCGCAACCTGCTGCCAATAACTAGAATGGACCTGTAACATACTGGAAGAATTATCAGACCTAGAATCATTCATGGACCATTACTACGTTCACTGCTGAATGGATACAGCCAGTACAACCCATCCACAAATGACACTGAGATCAGTGTTCTTGTATCCATCAATTAAAAACCTGATTTACTGGTCACACTTCATGATGAAATAAAAGAACTCACTGAAAAGTTGGAACAGTCAAACAACTCTCCAAACATCCGACAAAACCCTCAGTGGAAAAATGGACTCCGTCGTGAAAGAAAACAGAATAATGAAAGAAACGATACTGGACATAAGGACTGTTGGTGACCTCTCTCATGCTTTCTCTTTTGTGATAATGAATGTGTTCTTAAATTTGAGAAATGTGAAAACCACATTAAAAGTTGTGATAAAATATTTAAAAGAACTAAGAAGTGTTTGATAGAAGCTGATATAAATCTGCCTTTTTACATATAACTCAGTCACTGCAAGAAAGACTCCTTCCTTTTAACAATGGAAATGTTATCCTAAATATGAAAATGCAAAGATCTATGATTCAAAATGTGTGAACTGTTCCAGGAGAGTACAAGAAATATTTATAGTGTGTGCAGTTTAAATCTGCATAAGCCTATGCAATGTCAAGTCTAGTACTGTAATTTCCGTACTATTGAGTGCACCTGAATATAAGCGGCACCCACTAAATTTAAAAAGAAAAAAATGTTTGTACATATATAGGCTGCACTTGTCTATAAGCCGCAGGTATACACAAAGATTTTTATAACTTTTAATTAAATAAATGCTTTTTCCAAACAGTGCCTGCAATGCGGCTGGTTAAAAAAATAAAAAATACAGTAGCCTACCAGAAAAGTCATTGATCACTATCTTCATCTTCCTCCTGCGCTGTGTGAGCCATGGTGAACAGCAGAAGTTACAGACCACATATAATTATCATTAGACCAAGACAGTTATCATAAGACTAATTCATAAAACAAACTCAAAAGATTATCTCATGCAAAGCTGCACCCAGAGATAGGGCATGAACGTTTCACAGTGCAGTTCTAAAGACTGACCAAAATGTCCTCACTCCCGTACTATACAGTAACATTCGAGCTGGTTCTCTAACTGCTGGCCATATAATTACACACGTACAGTATACACACACTGTAGTGTTCTCCACAGCTCTCACTCATAATTTCACACACTCCAGTCTTTGTCCTCTGTGCTGTTTTACTTCAAACCATGATGAACAAACTGTATTAGATGATGAAACTGGTTTATTTGCACTGAAGATGGACTCATGACGTCCAGTTGTGAAGGAAAGTATGGTTTTGTTGTCTTTAAAGATTTACTGGCTGTATCTATCACAAGAAATCAAAGTCTAGGTTGAGCACCCAGTCAGTCCATCCTCTCATGACTGCAGCAACAGTGAACCCAGTACCTGGGGAACTGCTAATGATAAAATGGCTTTACCAGTGACTGGTGACCATCTGAACATTAAGTAAAACCCTGATCAATTCAACATGGTTACATGATACTTCCTGTAGAGATGCCTGAGTGCATCAGTGCACAGAAAGGTGAGTAAAATGCTGGAGACAAGGCAGGACCACTCAGGAGGCCAGGGTGGGACACCCAAAAGACAAGGACCCAGGGGAAACAAACTGAACCGAAGAGAAACTAAAGCAACTGACCAGACAGCCCCATCTGAACCAAGCTGTAGAAACAGTGTGGACAGGAAGAGACCAGGCAGAGGAAGATCAGGATCAGAGGAGCTGAATAAAGGGAATGAGCATAGCTCTGACAGGAATTTGAATAAAGAAACTCAGTCAGAAAACTGGAGAAACGGTTATCAATAGACATCCTTTCTATGTGTACTATCTGTGCCACTGTATACAGCACACGCAGATGAATGCTACTGCACTTACCAGGTTTGTGATCTCCTGAGACAGTTACTTCAAGGAACTGACCATTAATAGCAAATGGTTTTAGTTGGACTTGGTGGGAAAAGCTGTCCTGTTTGAAGAAGCTTTCAGTGAGTCTGAGCATCAATGAGGGCTTGGCTGAAGAGCTGAACCCCCATTAAACAACAAAGTGAAATCCGCAGCACTAAAACAGCCCACATTAAGAGGCTGTTGGACTGTCAGGAGCTGATGGTGAGAAGTGTCTACACTGTTGTTGAGCTGCTGACTTTGAAGCATAAACAAACAACTGGAGACTATGCCTGAACTAATGCACCGTTTCACATTGTATTTTCCAGGTGCCTCAAGTGGTCAGAGGGGTTTCCTGGGCTGCATGCGAGCTCTGAAGATTGATGGTGTGACCTTTGACCTGGAGCAAAGAGCAAAGGTGACTCCAGGGGTGAATCCAGGCTGCCAGGGTCACTGCAGTAGCTATGGGATGCACTGCAAGAACAGAGGGAAGTGTGTGGAGCAGTACAATGGATACTCCTGTGACTGCTCCCTCACTGCATATGATGGACGCTTCTGCACTGATGGTACGACTTCCAACACTGACTGGGGCTAGATTAGATTATACCGGGTTAGATTAGGTAAAATAATCTTTTATTAGATTAGTTTAGATGCAGAAAAGAATGATCATCACTTTTATAGTGTGTTTGATTTATTCTCCTCCTGTAGTCACTGTTTCGGTATATGTGTTTGTTAGATGTAGGTGGCTACTTTGAGACAGGAACACTGGTGCGTTATGACTTCGTGCAGGAGGCGGGACCATTTGCCTTGCGAGACGCGAAGAGCCTATCAGGTGTTGGTGTTCCTTTTGAGTCCAACCTGACCCAGGAGGAGCTTGTGTTCAGCTTCAGCACCTCCAGCACCCCTAGCATTCTGGTCTACATCAGCTCCAAGACTCAGGACTACTTGGCTGTGGTCCTCAGGCACAATGGTGGGTTTATCAACATTCTATCCAATTTTACATTTATTGTTTAGTTTTATATACAAAGATATATTTTGTGAGCTGCTGTTACATTATTATCCTGTGTTAAAACATACTTTGTCTGTGTATATGCATGTGTGTGTGTGTGTCCAGGCACTCTCCAGATCCGCTACAGTCTCGGGGGGTTAGCTGAACCTTACACCATAGATGTCGACCACCGTAACATGGCCAATGGACAGCCACACTCTGTCAACCTAACTAGGAACTTAAGGGAGATACACCTACAGGTCAGGGCTTCCTGCCTCTACAGAATTACCTGACCTTTTATATAGTTATTGCTGATACTTTATGCTGCAAATAAGTAGACAATAGGGTGTCAGAAAGTTCAACAATTTGGGAAATATGATTATTTTCCTTTTCAGAGAGGGAGACGTTCAGCTGGATATTGGCCTCATGTCTTTACGTTCAGTACGGAGCTGGAACAGGGTGTGGTTAGCTTAGCAAAGCATAAAGACTGGAAGCAGAATATAAAAATACACCCACCAGCATCTCTAATCTTGCAATCATTTGCATGTAGCATTTTCTTTGCAAACAAGCATATTTCCCAAAATGTTGCTCTGTTTCTTTCAAATATTGTGTTATAGGCCGTGGCTTCATTTATAACAGGGCTTTGATACTTGATGAGTGGTTCTTGGTGGTAACAGTACCAGAGCAGATTAGAGCCAAAGTTATTGATGTTCAACTCATCACGCTTCTGTTCCCCTGTCCATATTCTCCAGCTGGACCACTACCCGGTGTCCACATATACCCTGCCTGAGGCCTCCGACACCCAGTTCAACTTAGTCAAAAGTATCTTTCTTGGAAAGGTCTTTGGTAAGTGTGTAGATGAGTAGAAATGTGTGTGTGGATCCTACTTAGATATCCTGTCCAGATGGTGTATGTGTGCTTTTTTCTTTTCCTATTCCACTGTTTTAAGTACCAGTCACCTATAGATTTTCAGTTTGCTCTTAAATTTACACAATTCACTGGTGAACCGGGTGTCATGATGTCTCATGATTTACCAATAGATATTTTCATATTACAGAATAATTTTAGGGAAATTGGGTTTAGTTACAAGGAGGTTGGCAAATTAATATCAACTTAATCTGAGGGACTGACCTTCATATGTCTACCCGGGCAGCACGGTGGCGCGGTGGGTAGTGCCGTTGCCTCACAGCGAGAAGGTTCTGGGTTTGCGACCTTTCTGTGCAGAGTTTGCATGTTCTCCCCGTGCTTGCGTGGGTTCTCTCTGGGTACTCTGGCTTCTTCCCACTGTCCAAAGACATGCTGCATAGGTTGATTGGTGACTCTAAATTGCATGTAGGAGTGGCTGTGTGTGTGTGTGTGGTTGTTCGTCTGCATGTTGGCCCTGTGATGGACCAGCGACCCGTCCAGGGTGTACCCCGCCTTTTGCCCGATGTCGACTGGGATTGGCTTCATCCCCCTCGTGACCCCATTCGGGACTAAGTGGTATAGAAAATGAGATGAGATGTTTAGAGAGACTGTATCCACTGTCCTTTTGATAGGTGGGTAATACTGTGGACTGCAAAGCAAGTTTAGAGATTAACTCATTCCCTTTATTAGAATAGCTTGACTGCATTGTCAGTGATTTTATGCACAATAAAATGCAATACATTATTAAAGTATGTGAAGAATTTTGAAGCTGTTTACTTATTGCTCACATGAATGATAATATAAACAGACATATACAGTGGGTACGGAAAGTATTCAGACCCCCTTAAATTTTTCACTCATGTATATTGCAGCCATATGATAAAATCATTTAAGTTCATTTTTTTCCTCATTAATGTACACACAGCACCCCATATTGACAGAAAAACACAGAATGTTTGACATTTTTGCAGATTTATTAAAAAAGAAAAACTGAAATATCACATGGTCATAAGTATTCAGACCCTTTGCTGTGACACTCATATATTTAACTTAGGTGCTGTCCATTTCTTCTGATCATCCCTGAGATGGTTCTACACCTTCATTTGAGTCCAGCTGTGTTTGATTATACTGATTGGACGTGATTAGGAAAGCCACACACCTGTCTATATAAGACCCTACAGCTCACAGTGCATGTCAGAGCAAATGAGAATCATGAGGTCAAAGGAACTGCCTGAAGAGCTCAGAGACAGAATTGTGGCAAGGCACAGATCTGGCCAAGGTTACAAAAAAATTTCTGCTGCACTTAAGGTTCCTAAGAGCACAGTGGCCTCCATAATCCTTAAATGGAAGACGTTTGGGACGACCAGAACCCTTCCTAGGGCTGGCCGTCTGGCCAAACTGAGCTATCGGGGGAGAAGAGCCTTGGTGAGAGAGGTACAGAAGAACCCAAAGATGACTGTGGCTGAGCTCCAGAGATGCAGTCGGGAGATGGGAGAAAGTTGTAGAAAGTCAACCATCACTGCAGCCCTCCACCAGTCGGGGCTTTATGGCAGAGTGGCCCGACGGAAGCCTCTCCTCAGTGCAAGACACATGAAAGCCTGCATGGAGTTTGCTAAAAAACACCTGAAGGACTCCAAGATGGTGAGAAATAAGATTCTCTGGTCTGATGAGACCAAGATAGAACTTTTTGGCCTTAATTCTAAGCGGTATGTGTGGAGAAAACCAGGCACTGCTCATCACCTGTCCAATACAGTCCCAACAGTGAAGCATGGTGGTGGCAGCATCATGCTATGGGGGTGTTTTTCAGCTGCAGGGACAGGACGACTGGTTGCAATCGAGGGAAGGATGAATGCGGCCAAGTACAGGGATATCCTGGACGAAAACCTTCTCCAGAGTGCTCAGGACCTCAGACTGGGCCGAAGGTTCACCTTCCAACAAGACAATGACCCTAAGCACACAGCTAAAATAATGAAGGAGTGGCTTCACAACAACTCTGTGACTGTTCTTGAATGGCCCAGCCAGAGCCCTGACTTAAACCCAATTGAGCATCTCTGGAGAGACCTGAAAATGGCTGTCCACCCACGTTTACCATCCAACCTGACAGAACTGGCGAGGATCTGCAAGGAGGAATGGCAGAGGATCCCCAAATGCAGGTGTGAAAAACTTGTTGCATCATTCCCAAAAAGACTCATGGCTGTATTAGCTCAAAAGGGTGCTTCTACTAAATACTGAGCAAAGGGTCTGAATACTTATGACCATGTGATATTTCAGTTTTTCTTTTTTAATAAATCTGCAAAAATGTCAAAAATTCTGTGTTTTTCTGTCAATATGGGGTGCTGTGTGTACATTAATGAGGAAAAAAATGAACTTAAATGATTTTAGCATATGGCTGCAATATAACAAAGAGTGAAAAATTTAAGGGGGTCTGAATACTTTCCGTACCCACTGTAAGTGTTGAAATTCTCCTACTTGTCATGAAACCGTTTGAGAAACCACTTGATCATTGTGGAATCTGCTGTCTTTCTTGTAGAAACAGGGAAGATTGACCCCATCCTAATCGAGCGCTACAACACACCGGGCTTTGTGGGCTGTCTGTCAAGAGTTCAGCTGAACAGCGTGGCACCACTGAAAGCTGCGCTGCGCTCAGGCCTGGCAGCACCTGTCAGCACCCATGGGATTCTGGTCCCATCCAACTGTGGTGCTTCACCCTTGACCATCTCCCCCATGGCTTCAGCTAGTGACCCCTGGCACATAGAAGGTGGTAGAGACACATGATGAGATGCCAAAAGTCCCAAAGATTTGAGATTTTATGTCAGAACTCAAACAGATAACAAATGTTTGTTTTGTCTACAGCTGGAGCTGCTTTCCCTTTCAGTGAGGACAAAGCCAGTGGTGACAGAGTGGATCGCAACTCTGCCATAATCGGGGGTAAATCTTCAGTTCAGCTTTTGAAGAATGAATGGAGTCTGATCAGTCCACAAGAGCTCCACTCACTGCTTTGTTTTTTCACCTTCTTAGACAGAGCCTGTCTTTCTTCAGCAGCACCATTACACAGTAATACACAAACACTGGTCTAAAAGTGATACCACACACCATTTTGGAAATCTTTCCTCATGCCATCTGACCCGGAGTCCGACAAGGTTTAGTTTAGCTCGGTGTGTCAGACTTTGGTGTTGCTGCTTACCACCCATTTTTCTGTCTTTTGTTTCTTCCATCAACATAGATTTTTAAGTCTATTGACTTCATAAAGAAGCACACACACACACACATATAGAAGGAAACATGGAAAATGCATAGTCTAAACACAGGGGACAGTACACTGGATGAAGATTCAAGCAATCCAACAAGAACATAAACTGAACACATTGCTGTATTAAAAGAGAAATGGGTATCCATCAAAGACACAGTTTGTCCTAATAAATTATGCTGCTGGTTTAGTAGCAAAGGCAAAGAAACAAGGGCTTTACAACTGCAGAGTTGTTGCTGTAAGTATGCTACCGTTCGGATGACAGCTATGTGTGACTTAACCTGAAAGAGGCTGGTGATCTGGTTTCAATATTCCAAGTCCTCTTGATCAACTTTGACTCGTGATGAGTCATAACACCTTCTGTTATGTTAAACTGATTTACATAAATCACAAACTCATTGTTTTTCACATTCTTTTGCGCTTTATTTTTCTCTCGCATGTTGGTTACAAAAACCAAAGCAAGACTAAGGGGGCCTTCACAGGTCCACTCAATTTGTGACCTCACACAGGCCCTAATCGGGTCTGGTATGGTCCTGTTTCATAACTGCATGTCTCTGTCTCTAACACCTGACTGGATCCAACTGGGGTCTTGATCAGCTCCAATCATTGATATAGCTAATGTTCTCCACTGCTGTTGCAGTTTGGGTTCACTACATATTAGATCAGATCTTGTGGATTGGTTGAAGTGAATTCATGCTCAATGAATTTCAGATGGGGTTTCCACTCCAATGAATGTTGGAGGCTGTGCCCCTTATTTATTTGAGTGTTGCTAATAAAATGTACCATGTGTAAAAGACCTTAACCTTATGGAGAAAAAGCAAAACAAAACAACCCCCCCAAGATTGTTGTTCTTGATCAGAACAGTTTTACCAATGGCTGATGTTGTGAAACTGCTGCAGGGGCACTCCACTGTTTTGACAATGGTGGCCAATTTACTAATGATGAGCAGTACTACTCAGCTAATGAAAAGTTGTGTAATGCATGAATCTCTCTTGTGAGTGCAGATTTAAGAACAGAAGATTGCACATTTCAACTTCTCAGCTTACTGTTATTAATTATTGCTTTTTTGTTTTCTTTCCAGGCATCATCTCCATGGTGATCTTCACCGTCCTGTGCATGATGGTGCTTGTGATCCGTCATATGTTCCGTCATAAAGGCTCCTACCACACTAATGAGGCCAAAGGGGCGGAGTCAGCAGACTGTGCTGACGCAGCGATCATCGTCAATGATCCGGCCTTTACTGAAACCATTGACGAGAGCAAGAAGGAGTGGTTCATCTGAACCACCCTCAACAGCATAGACACATGACATTAGGATGTATGTAGTTTTCTAAGCATAGGGAGTAGTAGTGAGGTGACCACCCAAGGAACCTTGAGGAAGTGCTGAGTGGCTTATTTAAAAACTTTACAGACAATGGACACCATGGCATTACAGCATGGGTATTAAAGCACAGAACACAGCACTGCCTGGCAGAGCCTGTGTGAAGATGTGGAGCAGTTTATTTTAGCTTTCTTTATAATGGACAGTGTGACAACCTTCAGATTGGGTAGAGGACAGTGCCATAAAGTTACAGGCCTCTGATGAATGAGCATGTCAGTATTTATTTTTTGATTTTCTTTCATATAATTTGGTTTTAGTTTTATTTATTTATTTAGAAGTAATATTTTTCATAAAACGTATTACTTTGCATTTATTTATTTGTGTTGATGAATTTTTTATGCCTTTGTATGCTGTGCCGGTCATGCATTCAGTTTGAAAATGATGGCATTAATGGTAATAATTATAAATCCATTAATCACAGGATTCCTCCATGTTTGTAGCAATGCTAATACATGTGTAATTTTTAAAATAATGAATGTTGTGTTTAATCCTTTGCCTTATTTTATTTTCTGTCAGCAATGTTTCATTTTAGCCTTAAGACTGAAATCTCTGTTGTGTCTCTGTGTGTGTGTGTGGGTCTGTGTAAACTGACTGGCTTGCTTGTCTGTTAAGGAGATTTAGCCATGACTTTGTCTACATCATTTGGACTAAAAACTGATGAAAAGGGAACACCACACATCTATTTGTTTTGTCTCTTAATGGCTTTAGAGCACTGATTGTTGAACTTCTGGGGGATTGTACTATTTATGTTATTGTTTTTGTTGCTACCAAACGAGTTCAGGCGTGTGTTCAGCTTTTGAAGAATGAACTGAGTCTTGTCAGTCCACAACAGCTTTGTTTGTTTGTTTCAGATTTTTGAGGGAGAGGTTGTCTTTCATCAGCAAATACCAGTACACAATATTAAAAAAACATATATTAAGGTTTCATGGTACTATATGAGGCACGTCACAAATTTTGGAAATCCTCTCTTGTGCCATTTGACCCAGGGTCAGTCAAGGTTTATATATATATATATACTGTCAAAAGAATTTTCAAAGAAGCAACGAAGTCACTGAAATCTTTCAATAAGAAATTGGTTTACTTGCAGCAAAGAGACAAGTCAGCATAGGCATACAGAGTTGTCTGAATGAGCTTAGTCTAAACATCACAATATATAGGACAAAAGGAACTCTCTAGAGACGCATCCCAGGTGTTAATCAGGTTGTAAAAAAAGATTTGCAGAGGGAAAGTGAACTTGAAAGGCTTTTGCCCTGATGCCCCCTAAGACACTGCACAATCTGTTGTCTGTTTATCTCCACAGTGTATGGCCGGAACGGTTTATGGCTGGCTCCTTTAAGTCTGGGATGCCATCTGGTTGAACATATAACAACACACAAAGTACTATAACAGAGATAGAGCATGTCCTTCAGTTCACACAAGCAGTGTCTCACAGGTCCCTGTGATCTGTAGTCTGTTCTGAAAGGTTAAAATTCATTGAATAACATATGTTGGTTAATATATTGATTAGAACACAGTTTAAAACATACTTAATGTAATTTTCATGACATATACGTACTGTATATCTAGTGCCTCTCTATGGGATTTGGACACAGCTTCTCTACTCTGCTAATATACAGTAGATGGAGCTAGGATAGTGGTTTCCTGCTGCTTGACATCTTTGTGCTGTGCTAGGCTTAATACCACCTAGACACTTGTACTAGATGAGAAACAAAACTGATACAGATCATCTCATCTAATTACAGTATGTGCAAGATGGCAGCACATGCTTCTGGTCTTTCCTTCAAAGGCACACAAAGTAATCACTTTCCCACAGCATTGTGGGAATTAACAATTTCTCCAGCTACTATGATGGCTTTTTGTTTTTTATTCACATTAAATGTAGTGACTTTGGAGCTGTATTAGGAACAAGCAGACACAGACAAAATCAAATGTGAGGTGATTTGCAAATAATTATATTTAGGGCCCTATTTTGAGGGTCCACAGCGTCTGATCCAGTTGTATTGGTGCAAGTAGTGTTTGTGTGTGTCCATGTTCATCTTAGTAATTTGATAACCAGGGAAAACTGTTCAAGCGGCCCTGCAAGTAGCAAAAGGGCTGCACTTGATCTCCTCATTAAAGCAGTGATGTGTTTTGTGCATAACATGCAATTATCCAGTTGTGTGTAACCTCACATCCCCTTTAAGAGACGTGTGACTCTGAACATTTGGCGCACTGCTTGCATTCTGGTGGACTTGCCAGGTCAGAATACACATATATATTGATGTGCACAACACCCAATGAACACAATGTCATCTTTTTATTTTTCTAAGTTTTACATGTCCTGTGCAGCGTGTCTCTGGGTATAACAAGCACAGTGCATGAGCACTGTGCACGCACCTAAAGAGGTGTGCATCACAACATGATCATTAACTAGCAATGATGATTTGACTGTTGACCACAGACCTGGTTTTTGCTGGTCAGTGGCGTGGTCACAATTTACCTGGACACACCTGCAGGCACGAAGTCGACACAGTGCTGCCTGGTAAAAAGGCAACGTGGTGCCATGAAAAAGATAATTGTGGAGGAAGGAAATTAGGAAAAAGACACGCTGCCCGCGGCACATGCAATGCGTTTGTGCAAGATAGGACCCTAAGTTTTATCTGACTCATGATGGACTGAAAGGACTCTTAGTTCAACATTCTTCTAATGTCTGTCCATTAAACACCTGAGCTATGTCTTTGTTTTTTATAAAGTGAGATGATGTTTCTGGAGAAGAATGTTTGTTGCCCACATGCAAAACTATGGCTTACAACCTGACATTTGATTGTATTGCATTTGTATTGGGTTTGCTGCAGTGCAGTGTAATGGCATGCTGTTTGACACTGAATGACACACACCCTTCTGTTTGATAAGCTACTGTAGCATTACATTTCTTTGTCTTTATGTTAAATGTATAAAACTTTGCCTGAACATTCTTCTATCAATAGCTGATTCCTCATACTTTGTGCTTTTCTCATGGTCTTTAACATTTGAATGCTTCCTTTTGGGAAGACCAGTAAAAAATCCGAGTAAAATCTTACACTGGCTAATAATAGATTTTTGTCTACACACAAGTGGATCCAGGTGATCTGGAAGAGATCACCCCCAAGTTTAGGTGGTAAATTAACAGTCTTTAGAAAACAGTTATCAGAACTTGAGGATCATAGCTACATGTGACATCTGAAAACATGAACAAATCAAGACTTCTAATCCAACCTAGAAAACTAATAGTAACAATAATAACAAGAATGGGTTTGTAATATTTATATTTCAGGTTCTTTTTCAGCTGATGTTGATAAATCACTAGTATACAAATAGTGTGACACCTTGGTGGTGTGTTCAACCTGCTGCATTTTGCCTGTTGTACAATGAAGTGTATTTTTTGTGTACAACTCTTATTACAAAACACAGTTGCCAAGTGCTTCTGATCTACTTTTATATACAGGTGCTGGTCATATAATTAGAATATCATCAAAAAGTTGATTTATTTCACTAATTCCATTCAAAAAGGCAGCACTCTCTGTTGCAGCAGGCCCGGCATACCTGGACCTGCCCTCTCTGTCAGCAGGCAGGCAGGTGTGGGGGCTGCGCTCTCTGTTGCAGCAGGCCCAGCGTGCCTGGAACCACATTCTCAGCCAACAGTTGGAGTCACACTCATTGTTGCAGCAGACCTGGTGTGCATGGATCTGTGCGCTCAGCCAACAGTTGGGGCCACGCTCTATGATGCAGCAGGTCTGGCATGCCTGGAGCTGCGCTCTCTGCTCAGGAGGCAGCAGTTGGGGCCGCGCTCTCTATTGCAGCAGGCCCAGCGTGCCTGGAGCCGCACTCTCAGCCAGCAGGCAGGCAGGTGTAGGGGCCGCTCTCTCTGTTGCAGCAGGCCTGGCGTGCCTGGAACCACATTCTCAGCCAGCAGTTGGGGCCACACTCACTGTTGCAGCACGCCGGGTGTGCATGGAACTGTACGCTCAGCCAACAGTTGGGGCCACGCTCTATGTTGCAGCAGGTACAGCCAACAGTTGGGGCCACGCTCTATGATGCAGCAGGTCTGGCATGCCTGGAGCTGCGCTCTCTGCTCAGGAGGCAGCAGTTGGGGCCGCGCTCTCTATTGCAGCAGGCCCAGCGTGCCTGGAGCCGCACTCTCAGCCAGCAGGCAGGCAGGGGTAGGGGG